ATCTATATAAATGTTGCCGTTATGAAAACCAAAGGGAACAACTGATTTCTACGTTGTCGCCACGGGTATAACATTTGACAAATTGCGTTTGATACAGACGGAAAGTACGGAAGAGCGGCACGTTGGTCACTAATTCCACCATAATGCTTTTAACACAAAGACGACTGCACGACAGCGAAATTTTCTTTTTTGTCATTTTTGTCTACAAGAAAATTTCGCCAGTTTTTTGAACATTTTAAAGACGGCAGCGACATACCAAACAGCTAATGTAGACAATTTCGTGGCTACCGTACTAAAACCTTCCACTGCATTGAAATTTAATTATTTTGTTCAAAGTGAATTTTTTTTTGCCAAAACTAAGTAAATAGGTGGATTTTTTTTTTAATGATCAATTGTTATTGTTTTTTATGCTTCTGTTGGTAAGATAGTGTTAGACTTGTTAGAGCTTTGAATAATTTCACATATTATTATATATTAGTGACAACACTACCGCTGCCCATTGACGTCAGCAATATTAGAAATGGTTTTAATTTAGTAACAGCGACAACTGTAAGCCAGCCTGCCGTGACGTTGTCTTGTAATCCTGCCCATATGAACTTGTGTATGCTAAAATTTGACAGATGCTGCTTGTCGCTTGTCGTCGTCTATGAGTTCAGCGTTTGAGAACCGAACGACTATGAAGTGATGTATGTAAATATGTGCCAATATGTGTTTAGCTGCTCACAGCAAATCAAAAGCGAGGCGAAAATTTGAAGCAGTGTCGTAATGCGATCTTGTAAGATCACTCTAATGCGGCCAAAGAAGTATTCACTTCAAAAATTAAAGAAAAGCATTAACGAAGCCACCATTTTGAATGGCAAGTTTCGAGGCTAACATGTACAAGTAGTACTGTAACGAGTCTCTATGATTCTTACAGATGTGCCAATTGAATTTTAACGCACTCAATTTCTAATTAGATTGACAATCGCAATGGCGATGAATAAGATTTTGTACACCATGCTTTTCCAACGAAAAACTTTATGTGGCATGTTCGCGCGTGAGCAAACAATACAGTTTCTTTGTATTAGCTATAGACACACTGGCCGAAAATATTGTAGACTCCATTGCGTTGAGTCTAATCTTTGTTTATTTTTATTTGAAATAATTAGTAGAAGAAATATGAACTATTTTCGATGTGCATTTAGGTAGCTATCGAAAATTGTAATTTAATATATTATAATTAAATCTTTTTATTTAATTTAACACACTTATAGTGTTAGTAACCTTTAAAAACAATTTCCTAAAAATAACGTATATGGCAAATCAACGTTTGCCGGGTCAGCTAGTTTGGTTTATATAAAAATGAATATATCATCGACATACCTACATTCATTTAATTTAAATAATATTATTCTTTTAAATAAACTTAGTAGATACAGCACTTAAAGTAACGCACTGACTTGGATCCACTCATACTTAAGTGGCACGCAATTTCAAGTCAATATTGATGGGCATCTATCCACCAAGCATTATGTGATCACAGAAGTGCCCCACGGACCAGACCTGAGTCCAACTCTCTTTAATATTTTTGTAATGGATATTAGTGATAACTTTCAGTCTGAATATCTGCATTCCAGCTAACTTTAACGTGAACAACGAGACAATAAGCCAAGTTGAACACCAAAAATATAGAAATAAATACCTTCAGGTGTTGACAAAACTTTTTACTAAACAATTAAGGAAGTGCTAAATTCGGGTGTAACCGAAAATAATATACTCTTGCAACTTTCAAGAATCAAAGCCCAGGAAATTCCTTCAGGTGCTGACAAACTTTATATTAAAATATCTTACAAAAGAATTAAACATTCATTATTTGATGAAATCGTGAATAAAATACAATCAAATCAAATTTGGTATCTTTTTGACTTATATTGAAGGCAATAAACTTCGACTCACTTTTATTGTTATATTTTAGTTCTCGTAAGCTAAAATTATAATAAAACAATTAACGAAAGGCTAAGTGCAAGGATTAGAGCCCGGGAAATTTCTTCAGGTGTTGGCAAAACTTTATATCACAAAATGTCGCGAAAGAATTAAACATCCATTATTCGATAAAATTTCGTGATTATAAAACTTATATTGAAGACCATAAACTAAGACTTAGTTTTGTTGCTATATTTTTTTTCGCGTCAGCTAAAATTATATTAAAAACACCTTGAAAGATCTACCTACATATCAACTCCACCGAAGAGGCCAAATTTCATATGTATACATATATTGAGTTAATGTGGAAGACGTCAACATTGCTTTAATTTTGACATTGCTTAGGTATACTTAAGAACACATTTTGAAGCTACTTAATATAAAATAATACACACTGACCGACAAAGAGGGCATTAAACTTGTTAGAATAACAAAAATCATTGTAAGCGGTTTTTTCCATTTTCGGCGCATAGATCCACTAATATAAGCAAAACACGTTCTCTCATTTCCATTGAGATAGCTCACATATTGGCAGATATATGCGGTATAAAGTCAACCAGAAGTTCGAAAATCTTTATATTAAGTATATGGGGGCTAAAGGAAGTATGAACCCGACTCCACTATTTTTTGATATAAAGACATACTATTATAAGGAAAGGATCCTCACTAAATTTAATTATATATCTCACACATAGGGGCTTGAACAATTTTGTTTCGACTTGGACAATTTTGTTCACAAAGAGACATACTTTAAAGTCATTATTCGTGCAAAGTTTTTTCCCGATACATTTATTGGTGCTTGATTTGCATCCTAAAAAGTGAAAGAATCAAACGGAATTTAAAATTATATTGTATGGAAAGTGGGCGTGATTATAGTCTAATTTCCCCCTTTACACACTGTAATATAGAAATATCAGAGGAATGTTACATACCGAGTTTGATTGAAATCGGTCTAGCGACATATAGATGGCGCCACTACAGTTTATTTTGTTTCTTTTTTACTGTTTACTTTGGAACGCACCTTGTATAATGGTACTGTTAAAAACTACCAAAAGCGCGATAAATCAAGCACTAAACAAGCCAGAGACATTAAATTTTTATCTCTGGGATGGTATGAGATAACTTTCAAAATTAGTCAGTGGGCGTGGCACCGCCACCTTTTAGGTGAAACCCCATATCTTGGGATCTGCTTACTCATTTCAACCAAATTCGGTACATAACGTTCTTTTCATATTTCTATATTATAGTGCGAAAATGGGCGAAATAGCACTACAACCACGCCTATTTCCCATATAACACCATTTTCACTACCATCTCATTCCTTCAGATTCCACTATGCATATCAAGCAACAATGATTATATCGGGGTAAAACTTTGGGTGAATAATACGTTTAAAGTATGCCACCTTGTAACCAAAAATTGTCTGAATCGAACCAAAACTGTTCAAGCCCCTCAGTAGTAAATATATGGACCCCAGTGCCTATAGTTGACCTTCTATCGAATATACCTTCTATAGGATATGCACATTAAACCTATTAGAGGCGGGACCACGCCCACTTTTTAAAAAGAGTTTTAACTGCAGATGCCCCTCCCTAATGTGATCCTGTGTACCAAATAACAGTCTTGTATCTCATTGCCGAGCTTAGTTATGGCAAGTTATTTGTTTTTGATTAGTGGCGTTTTGTATGCGTGGCAGTGGCCCGATTACGCCCATCTGCAATACCAGCCGTCTCACGGTACCAAGAAACATGTCTACCAAGTTTCATAAAGATATCTCAATTTTTACTCAAGTTAGAGCTTGCACGGACGGACAGACGGACGGACGGACGGACAGACAGTCACCCGGATCTCAACTCGTCTCTTCATCCTGATCATTTATATATACATAACCCTATATCTAACTCGATTAGTTTTAGGTGATACAAACAACCGTTAGGTGAACAAAACTATTATACTTTAAATATATTTCTGTGATAAAAATATTGATACTTAATATTTGATTCACCTTAACACCCATATAGGAGTGCTATGCCGAATAATTAAAGAGACGTAATTTCCTCCCACATGAAAATTTGTGACCTGATTTTAAATATATTTCTGTGATAAATAAAAAAAATCAGCTATCAGTAAGTCGAGGGAAACCTAGTCAGCTGGTGCCTTTAAATAGTCAGTAAATGCTTCTGGCTAACTTCTACGTAACGACCTTCAAAGTATCTGCTGACGGTTTTTCCACCGAGATACAGCCAACTGACGTATACAAGTATCTTGTATACTTATCAATAGTTACATATCAGCTATCATCAGGTAAATTTTTATTTGAAAGGATATCACTGAAAGTGAAGATTTTTTTTCCATGATCGAGACATCAGCTGACGTACAATCCGCTATGTTATAGCCAGCTGACTATTTTTTTTGTTGAGTTATTAGGTTAGCTATAATTTGATAAATTTTTAGCCGAGAGGAAATCAGTGAATGTATTTTTTTTCTTCAAGCGTGGGAGGCTGCACACACTCATCCCCCCAACCGAGCCTCAGCTGACGTTCACGAGGCTTTATGGTTCGATTTTCTGATGCGTATCACCAATTATCTCTCGAGAAGAAATAATTAACCAAATTTGTACCTGGCTCGCGGACTATTTGTCTCTACGTCTAAAATAGGTTAAATCGGATCAATAATTCCCTTAGCCTCCATTTACATAATAGAAAGGTGTTCGACTTTTCGGCTGACTTTATACCTCATATACCTGTGAATACATTAATTATCTTAATGACTTGCAAGAGTCTGAAATTTTCCGTTTCAGCCAAACTTAGCCCTTCCTTACTTGTTTTGTAAATAATTGAAACGGAGAGCAGTCTTGTCATAGTACATAATGTCCTGCTTTTAGCAAGGAAATTTACAGAATTAATTATTGCTCTCGTTTACCTGAACTAACTCTTTAAGGACTCAAATTCCTAATTTTAACTTAAAAACAATATGCATTAAATTAAAAACATATTAGGTATTAATAGCATTGACTATTTTTATTTCTTATTGTTACAGACCTTTCACTTGTTCGAGTATCTTATCAACTCTGTTATATGTGACGTAAAAAGAAATGCATCGCAAAGAATATAACGAAAATCGTGATGCGAATTACCCAGAACTATTTTCCACTAAGGTTTATCATATTGTGAAACGTTCGGATTTTGAAGGATATGGATTTAATTTGCATTCAGAGAGATTAAAGCCCGGACAATATGTGGGGAAAGTTGATATGAATTCTCCGGCAGAAGTATCGGGATTAAGAGAAGGTTATCGTATCATTGAAGTTAATGGTGTAGATATAAGTCAAGAGTCTCACAAGCACGTAGTGCAGCGAATTAAGGCCATTTCACATGAAGTGAGATTATTAATAGTTGATGTCCACTCTAATAAAGAACTTACAGCTGAAAAGTCATCACCATTGCCAAAGTCTTTCAATGAAAAAATAATTTCAAAGAAATGGAAGTTGCAAGACAGAAAACACCTGGAATTAGTTCTAATGCAAGCAATGTGGATTTGATTATGAGGAAGCCTGTTGCCAATTATGATACAAACACAACACAGAAACACAATAACGACAATAACGAAAAACATAACCATACCACCGTATACAAATTCAATGAAATGCATTTGGGGAAGCATGATGAAACACTTTCACAATTAGGTATAAAGGTTTCTCGTACAGCATCAAGTGGTGGACTAGAACTTCCAATGACCGCAGCAGAAATGAGGGCTAAACTTTTATCTAAAAAAAAATATGATCCAAAAAATGAAATTGTTGATTTGAAGAAAAAGTTTGAGATAATACAGAAGCTATAAATTTTTGATGTTTAAATAAAAACAATAATTTAATTGTTACAAATGTCTTACAACAAGAAATATCAATGTTATTTGTAAATCATTGAACATATTAAAAATACTGTCCAATTGTTGATATAATAGAGGTCTTTTATTTGACCTTCATATGCCAATAAATCTAACCTTGACAAATAAAATCTATTTATTTATCTATTTATTCCAGGATACAAAGTACATATTACATACAAGTATGCACCTATAGAGGTGTTTCAAAACACCTGTATATAGGCCTGGTAATATTAGTTTATTATAATTAAGTACTAATCTATAAATAACAAATGTCATTTATAGTTGAAAAACAAGAGAAAACATAGTATTTTTAAATATTAGTGTCTACAATCCACTCAATTATTTTCTTTTTGCTTGCTTTATTTTTAATATTTTTAATAACACTGCGCGTTACCAGGTTAGCACACTTTTGTCAGTCTAATATATTTTGTGTTTTTTTGTTAAAAGCGTGCAATTACTTTATTGTTTTCTGATTTTTACGTATTTGCATCAACAGTCACTGATAAAGAAAACATGCGATAAGAATGAATAATTTTTGCTATTTTCTGTTCTTTTTAATCGAAGTGTGTACTTTATTTTTGCGTCATCAGATAAGCACATGCATTTTGATTTGCATTTATCTTCTGAGTTTGAATTGTTCAAGTGTTATATTGTCTTTTATATGGGTAAAGGGGAATCGCTCTCGGTTCAAGGAAAAGCAATATTCGAAGCTTATCAACAGTCCCAGCTTTTAATAATTAAAATAAGAAAATAAATGGGCAGAAATCAAAAAATTATCTACAATTTCTTGCGTAATTAGTCGTAGTATAGTCGAAATAATAAAGAAATGTAAAGTGATTTCCGATGTGGACAAGAGAGCAATTTGGAGATAAGCCTCCGATCTCCATGCATCGACCGCCAAGATTCGGGCGAATGCTAGTGCTAAAAAGAATTGGTAGGATTCCTACCCCACTAGGTGAAAGGAAAATATTTACATACACACATATATATGCGTGACCGCAGTGATCGCAAGTGTATATTTTGTGGTTTTGTAGTATTGAGAAAGCGCTCGCGTTTTAACTAAAAGTAGTGTGGGACTTTTTTTCGTATAGTAAAAGTGCATGAGAATCTTTTTATAGCACATATTGTTGATGTTTTTAATTTAAGTGCAAGTTTGTATGTATATTTTTGAAACCACATAAATAAAGCGTATGAGAAATTTCTGAAACCACATTTTGTTGATATTTTTAATTTTAGGTCCATGAGAATTTTTTGAAACCACATAAATTAAGCTTAACGAACGTATAAAAAGCCATCATTAAAAACATATTTCATTATTTTGTTTTGTTCTTAACGAACGTATAAAAAGCCTACCATTAAAAATATATTTCATTATTAAGAATTTTCATAATGTTTGTGACAGTAGATGGTCAAGGCTTCAAAGCATATAATAATAGATTTATTGTTAAGGAAATAGCTGTGGTCTTCAACAATGACGAATTTCAGTGTTTCGACATCAAGGCTCCATTTGAATTTTCAGGATAATCAACGGTAAGCTAATTGGTTGGTATTATATCACCATAATTTATTATGGTACTATGGAAGTGATAGTTTTAAAGCTGTAAAAAACTATTTGGCATCAGCATTAAAAAACCTAAAAGTTTATGTAAAGGGAGAAGAAAAGAAATTGTGGATAGCGGAGTTTCTCCAAAAGCCGGTTTTTAACATTGAAGAGGAGAGTACAGAGTGTAATGGAATGAATATTTCTAGATTATACAATTTACACCCATATGCTGTGCGTTGTCAGTTTCATTTTCACAACGATGATTGTAATGTGAAAACAGAATGGACTACAAATTCGTTGTGCCTTAAAAACAGAATATATTTTGTTTAAGTACATACTGGATAGTAATTTAAATTATAATAAGTAAATAAAATAGAATTCAAAATTTTAAGCTTAGTGATTTAATTTTAAAGGCTAAGAAGAAGAAAAGTAAGTATACAAATACATATTTTTTCAAATATCAACCTCATTTTAAATTGTCGTGGACAAAGGGATATAAAACAATAGAATTTCAATTTTATATTTCATTAATACTTGTTTTCAAAGCAAATAAAGGACTTGTAATAAACCAAAACGCAAAAAGTATTCAATTTAATTTAACATTACCAAATAGTAATGATATGTTACAAGTGAATATTTCATTATTATTACTTAAAGTGAGCCTCTTTTAACCCATTATGAAAAAGAAATTGAAGTGTTGTCAACAACGTCGTCATCGTCTTCATCATGAACCCCCATTATAGAGATAACACAACCATCTCCAACCCCTACAACAATCACACCATCGTCTATAGTTGACTTTACAACTGAAGGGAAGCCCATGAGAATTTTTACTTTAGATGAAGCTATAGACGCATTTCGTATAGAGATTATTGAAAAGAAATTTGATATTGGAGGAATCATTGAGACAAAACAAGCATTTTATCGACATTTCAAATTGGAATATGATAATTTTGACACACCGATTCGTTGTACTTATGATAGTAGATATATTGAAAAACTGTTGAGTATCAAGTGCTTTGAATATCGTGAAATTAAAACTGAACGAAATCTGAGTAATGGTGACATTGAAAAGGTTCTAGCTCAGGATAATTCATATAAAAGACCAAATATAGAAATAATTGATGTTAAAAGCTATAGACAAACATATAATATGGTCATTGTATAACGTATGTTAGTCGTATGTATATGGGAAAAAAGATGTAATTGACTAATTTAATAAAAAATTTACTTCTACACCTGTTGTATTTAAGTTATGGAACAAGCAACTACTATAATCAATTTATGAACCAAAATCAAAATATAAGCAGCTTTAGATATTTTGAAAGTAGTAAACAGGCTAGTAGTGAATACAATATTCCAAACACTTCGTTATGTTTAAAAATAAATGTAACAATTGAATTGATAGATAATAATCTTCCTGAGCAGAACACATCATTATTAAAAATAACTTACTCCGATCAATGAAATGAGTCGTATAGTGCGAAAAGAAGTGTATACACCATACTCGATGCTATTGACGCTTTTAAAAAAGATTTAGTTGAGAAGGAAAAGATAATTGGAGGTATTCTTGAGAGTTCAGGCGTTTTCCATCGACATTTTAACTTAGTCTACGATAAGTGCGAAATTCGAATTAAAAGCTCCTATTATAGCAATTATGTAAAGCGTACTCTAAATATCTATTGCTTTGAATTTTCGGAAAACAATACGGAGAAATTACATAAACGAGAAGCATTAAATGCGCGCGCTTCATACAATACTTGTATAAACCCAACAATAATTAATGTTGATCGTTATTATCAAACATTGCATATGAAAGTTCAGTTATCCAAGACATGCCATCGACAGCAGTAGATATATGTAGTTTCATAAAAAACTTTGTACATATTTTGCCTAACGAACAGAAAAAAAGACTTTTGGATATTCATTTAAAAATCGAGTATAGAGATAAATTAAGTAAAATAGCCTACAACATTATGGACACTTATATTAAAATTTATAACCAATTTCGCTGTAAAGATTGTAAATAAATTCCATCTGAAAATACCTCTACATATATTTGTAAACAAAAACACCTCTTCAAATAAAAAGAATTTCTATTTTATTTTTAAATTTAACTTATTTCATATTTTAAGGTTAAGAATGTGGTATATGTGGTTTCATAAAACTCTCACTCATTTTTATACTCTCGCAACTTGCTGCTACAGAGTATAATAGTTTTGTTCACCTAACGGTTGTTTGTATCACCTAAAACTAATCGAGTATTCGATAATATCGAGAGATATAGGGTTATATATATATAAATGATCAGGATGAAGAGGCGAGTTGAAATCCGGGTGACTGTCCGTCCGTCCGGCTGTGCAAGCTGTAACTTGAGTAAAAATTGAGATGTCTTTATGAAACTAGGTATACATGTTTTTTGGTACCGTAAGACGACTGGTGTTCCAGATGGGCGTAATTGGACTACTGCCACGCCCACAAAACGCCATTAATCAAAAACAAATAAATTGCTATAGCTAAACTCCACAACAAAATACAAGACTCTTATTTTAAATACAGGATCGCATTAGGGAGGGGCATCTGCAGTTAAATTTTTTTAAGTGGCCGGGGTCCTGCCCCTAATAAGTTTAATGTGCATATCTCTTATACCGCTAAAGCTATAATAACAAAATTCACTGAGTGCAAATGCTTTTAGCATCTCTATCGACGGTGTGAAAGTGGGTGAAATCGGGTGACAACCCCGCCCACTCCCCATATAACGGTACTGTTAAAAACTACTAAAAGCGCGATAAATCAAGCCATTAAATTCCATCTGATTTTTTTCACTTTCCAGTATGCAAATCATGCAACAATGATTATATCGGCGTAAAACTTTGCGTGAATAATACGCTTAAAGTATGCCAAATTGAACCAAAACTGTTCAATCCCCTAGGTACTGAATATGTGGACCCCAGTGCCTACAGTTGACTTTTAACCGAAAATATCGGTCAACATAGAACAAGGCGGCAAGGTCTACAAAGAAATCTAAAACGAGTATACCATTTGACTTTGCGAGAGTACAAAATGTTCGGTTACATCCGAACTTAGCCCTTGTTAAATACATGTTTATATATAATTTTCTAACCTCATCAATTATATTAAATTTTGGTTTATGAAAAACTTTTAAATTTTTGTATGCGGTGTTCAATAAATGTTGTTCATTTGAGGAATCTACCTCATCTGGGTTCATTCTGATGGTCCTGTGCATAGTATTATTATAATCATTGACTAAATTTTTATAGATGTCAATCCATTTCTATTCAAAACTCTTTCCTCATCATTTCTTTAAATGTTCAATTGAATCGCTCTTTTTTGCTTGTAATAATCTCTTAAAATTAGTATTATAAAATTCCCATCATCTGTTTGTAGGTTTTTCGGTATTCGGTTACTTGAGTTTAAAATCATAGCCATTGCATTTGTTACATTTTCTTTAGTTTAATTTTTAACTGCTTCGACCCAAGTTTTTTTGGAAAATGTATCGATTACAGTTAAAAGTTATTGATATTGATTATTACTATTTAAATACTGAGTCATTACCACCAAGTCAGCATGCCATAAATCATCGATTCCTTTAATAATAACACGTCTTCGTTTAAAACTTTTTCTAGCTTGCTTATGTAATTCTTCTACAATAGCTCTTTTATTATTCATTTTGCTAATCCTTTTATAGTAGGAAACTTTTTTTTTAGCACTTCAGCGTCTTTTTCAGTAGGATGTTGTTTCTACACAACGAAACGTATCAAATAATCCTCAATAGTTAATAAATAGTTATTTATATTATGTAATTCTTCCCCACATGCACGTTTTATTCGTTGGTCTATTAGATCCTCAAGAATTGATACAACATTTTTACTACTATTATTCAGAGTTACATTTATTTCTCTGATTTGATATTCCAATTTGTTATTCATCTTCTTTCATGTTTCTAAAAGGAATACTTTCGAAATGGCATCATCGTCTTCTATAGAAGCAGCTAGATTAATTATTCTTTTCTTGTTTAATTAAGATTTTTGTTTCGGTCTAGAATTGTTTTCTCTTTTGAACTAAAATTGTTAAATGAGGAATGACCAAATTTATTTATACTCATATTATTTAATAATATTTGCTTCTCGCAAGTCTTCAATAATTGACATAATCTCGTTTTGATGGTTGTTATGACCGACACTTGTTGAAGATAAAAGCAATCTCAATCTATCCACCAACTCATTAGGATTATCTCAATATTGATAAATATTTTTGGGGAAATCGATTGATTTCAATAAACCTCTACCACTTATGCACGAGTGTGGATTATAATTGAACAATTTCGTGATAATATAGGTATCTAAATGATTTTGTTCCCTTAATTTGATTATTTGGGTTATAATTATGTTTGCGAGCACTTGTTAGAAGAATAAGGTGGCCATACATTTTGACTTATAATAAAAACTGAATAATGAGTTGCCATCCTGTCATAAACCAAATAAAAAACAATATTGTTTATTAATCATTGTTTCTTTAATTTTATTTTTGCACAAGTAAAGTATAGACAGTTTGCTTATCGCTTGTTGTATATCACCTAACAATGGAGTTAGCATAGGTTAGATTTAGTATACATAAATGATCAGGATGAGAGGAGTTAACAT